ACATTCCAAGTATTGAGGAAATTGTTGAAACAGTACTATACCACCAAGCATATATCACCACTTCACTCAGTTCACGAGTCGCCTGAATCTTCCAGGCGTCTACGCTCTCCAAATTAACTTCAACGAAGAGCCGAGTGCCCTTAAAAGTACCACCAAAATCTTTAACCTCACGACACCTGTTAAAATGCGAATACAAGGGATATTCCTCAATTCCTTGAAAACAAAGTAATCTGCAATGAGCCTGACACCAACTGTGGACTTATACGCAAGTTGTTTGCGAACTCTAGGTTGGAAACACACATCACTAAGGAGCTCACCGCTCACAAGTCAGTTAGTGGGACATATAATTCGACCTTAGTACTTATGCTGATGAGTGAAAATCTAGCCCTATAAATTCACATCACATATCTGGTGTTAAGGCTAACACTCACAATCTTAGACTTGTAAATACAACTCGCGATTAATAAGGTCCTGCGTCACTTGTCACTTCTAATTTTTCAACTACATCACAAGTAGTCACCAAGCACGTATACTAGTCATTACTCTCTGCTTCGATACATATTGGGCATTCGGCATGGTACCTCACAGTATTCTCTTTGAGAAACTGTACACGTGTGTATTTCGCAATCCAGTACTTAACTGGTTAAAGCCTTTTCTAAGAGACAAGGTACAATTAATCAAAGTTGGATCTGTGTTGTCGCATCCCAGGCATATCAAAAATGAGGCAGTCCAGGGCATCGTGATAGCTAACTTACCTAACAAAAATGTTTGTGGACTATCATTCCAGATATCCTAGATATCTTCACTACTGTGATATCAGCTAACTCATGCACTGTGAAATACACACACACACCATGATACTTTTGCGACTGATAACTTGAGTACCGGAATTCAGCTGCTATGCATATACTGGACTGGACTACGTCAACTCCTAGCTTAGTGATAGGGAGTGAAGTGATATAACATGTTGACCACTTCACCTATTTGGGAAGTTGTAACAGCACCAACGGATTGATTGGTGACGAAATCACAGCACGGATCCAGAAAGCTCGGGCTGCTTACACTAACTTACACCGTCTCTGGAGTAGGCGTGACATCCGGCTGTCAACCAAGGGACGTGTATACTGCTCAGCAGTTCACTCCGTCCTTCTCTATGGCGGTGAGACGTGGTCATTGAGAGAGGAAGACATGAAGAGGTTGTCTGTTTTTAACCACAGATGTTTACGATCTCTTTCTCGCGTTAGGTGGTATATTAAGGTAAGTAATGTTGACGTTAGGCGTAGAGTGTTTGGCAAAGAGGGAAAATCACTCGAAGAGGCTATGAAGTTACATAGATAGAGATGGCTAGGTCAGGTGCTGCGCATGCCTAACCATCGTCTCCCCCGACGGGCATTACTAGCTGATATAGGTGCAGGTTGGAAAAGAGTAAGTGGTGGCCAAACAAAAACATGGCCTCATCAATCCATGAAATCCCCGACAGTTAAACTGAGCCAGGTAGGGAGATGCAGACTTCCGGTTTGGGGTCCTCGGGACTCTAAGAATCAATGGCTGGAGACAATAGGTGACATGGCTCAAAATCGTTGTGAATGGCGCAGATGTATTCAGTCTCTTTAACCTTCATATTCCTTTCTACCATTACTCATTCTGTTTCAATCGTATACTTATCTAAATTCCATTGATTCTCTTCTCTCATTTTCCTGTCTACCTTTGTGTGCTATTTGGAACGTGGCAACTCGAACTGCTGCAATTCGGTGCCAAGTTCTATGTTGAATCCAGCAGCAGCAGCAGCATATACGTAAAACAATTCAGAAACCGTAAATGATATCAGACTAACATTTCCATATGAAGCATGAGTTCGGTTAGTAACTCTGTCAACAGGAATGTGTAGCACTGAAATCGTATTTATGTGGTTGTGGAAAACGTGTTATCGAGAATATGACTAATTTAAAATATAGATGGTAGTGCGCCTTTCAATAAACTCATCAATGCTCGTAGTTGTGCAGAGTGGTGACATAACCAGCCTTTGGGATCATGTTTACTATGTTTTGATGAGACTGTCTATTTCGAGCGAACTCACTTGTAGAAGGGATCCATGGTTTAGTAAATTTGACGCCTTCTTGAGTTAACTTCAAAGGATGACTGTGCTGCTAATCATTCATTCATACTATGATATTTCAACATAGTCTCTAATTATTCTCCTCTTTTCATCCAGTTTGTTTTTATACATCATAATCCCATGGCTTGCACATCACCTTTTGACGTATACTTATCATTCACCTCTCTTTCTATTTCACCTCTAATTTGATTTGGAATGTAAGTCAACCTGTATGCTAGTTCGTGCAGTGACCAATAAAATATATCTGGATGATTGAAACAATAAGCAATTCAAAATTATTTCACTTTATCTGCAGTTTCTTGAGACCTACACTCAGTCTCTGTATAATATTCACTGCATTGAGTTTTTATCATCCACCGAGGAGAACTTGTACTTCCTTCAGTGTATATTGGTCTGTTGTGAAGTGAATAGCTGGTTCGTATTTTCGCTTGATTCACGTGCGTTGAATCATATAGTCAAAACAAATTTCACACACGCAATCTTTTTCCGTTTCATAGTCTGTCATTGTTGATTTCCCAAACACAATTTTATTATTGAAATTTTTGACTTACTCTGACTGATCAGATGAAGTCTGTGTTCTCAGTTTCAGTTGTGTTTGCACATACCTATCGACGTTAACTAATTCACACTTAACATGCTGATGTGTTTATTCTTCAGTTATCAACCACGGACAGCATCACATCAGTATTCAGTGTTAACATCTTCACATGTGTAGTACATAAATCATTGGTAGTTTTAAAGATGCAGGAAGGAATCTAAAACGGCTATTTCTCCAATTTCGGAATACTAATCTCCTGGTTGAGTTTGAAGTTGTTCATTCTACTCTTAGCTGTACGTTTCAGTTGTGAAGCATTCATTATCCACAAAGACAACTACTCTACACACATATAAATATGGAGCAAACTGACTGATCTCACATCGAATTTATCAACTACCTCTCCTGACAGAAAGAAGGGGAGGAAGACGAAACCAGAGTCAATGATCACTCATATCTGCGTGGCTGTTTGTCACCAAAGCGTTGACAATCATTATATCCTCTAAGACCACTGAAGCACTAATACTCTACTAGCTCCAGTTAGTTTAAATTGTATGAAGTAAGCTTTCCAAATACTCAGTATACAAATTGTTGAATAAGAAAGTGAACTTTAAAATTCCTGTTAGCTTTAATTACAACAATGTTGTTTTTGAAAACGTGGTATGTTCAATCGTACGACAACAGTTTTCAGTAATTAGGCCACCAGCTAAAGAATAATCAGAATCAATTACCACCGGTCTATGTGAGGAGGGTAATTCTTGTAGTCTGTTTCCCCCTCTCAACACTTTGTTGTTTTTGTCACAGAAGTATATGGCCTGATTCATTCTGTCACATGAAGTACTTTTATTATCACGGTCAGATTCCTGTGTAGTTTTACATGCTCAGAAATCACATAAACATTCTCACTTTGCTTCACTTCACTTCTCTTTAACACAATCAGCCTCAGACTGTTTATACAGAGTACAAATGTGAAGGATCACACTGAATTGCATAGAAATATCAGTGGAGATGTCTCTGAGATATTGTGAAAGGACTCGTTGTAGTGACGTGTCTACCGCCATCACATACTGAGAGCAAATCGCTGATTCTACAGTTGCAATATCACTCACAGTTTTTCATCCACTGTCCTCTAATACACTTCAACAATTTTCGTGTTATTTTCATCACACTGAGTACTGTATATGTCTCAGCAATTCGAAAGTATATTACGAGATATTGCAATCAGCCGAAATCATTATTTATAAAATTATTTCAATCAAGGAATCTGAGTATATACCAGGTGATACATGAGGAGACACCAGTCACAACAGTTGACTGAAAGCAAACGTCATCTAGTGTGGCTTATGAAAACACGTTACGTAGAGTGTTGTTGCCCATCATTTGGACAGCAATAATCAGCTTGAAAACATCAGTATCGCTCTATGTAGTCCTTAGGTACTTCTCTAGTTAACGAAAGCGTATTTTCATCTCTGAATATCTGAAAAATTCCAGTAGACGTTTGGTCATGCCACTAGATACTGGCTTTCTCCACGAAAGATCCAAGAGTCTGTTGAGTATCGACATCCGATTTTTCACAGATAATTACAATATCCTTTTGCTGGATACTGACCCGGATCAATGTATACTGAAAACCTTTGTCATTTCTATCATTCGCTCATTCTCTTAGCCTCTTTCTTAGTCGTTCCCTGTTGATTACTTTTTAATGTTTACCTTGCCTTTACTTTAATAAAAAAGATTCAATATTCTCACTCTCACATCTTCTTTGTGTACGTTTTCTTAGACTCCCCACACATTTTAATTAGACAACCATCTGCTCACTCAATAACAAATTTAACCTTATCAAACTCCAAACCCTATATTCCTTTGTGTCGTTGAGATTCCCGTAACTTGTTGTTTCTCTTTTAGATTTGAAGCCATTTCTAAGTACTTTTCTCAATTGTGTCACCCCTACTACTCAACAATGGACTACTAAACATTTTCGGTTTATATAAACAGGACTCTACAGCAGCTGAAGATGATTTCGTCTATTAGGAACATTTTCTTCGCTGAAATGCATTCTATTACCAGATGAGTTTCATCGACATCTAGCAGGAAGTGTGTTAGAAGACTGACTTACTGCATAAGACAGATTATACATTCAAGCATGAAAACAAACCCACTCACTCCTGAACTCACTTGCTTATCCGCCAACAACCAATCAACACACTGGCTTAATCTAACAAATGGAAAACAAGATAAATAATACCATTTTTATCAACCGACAAACGCAATAAACACTACAACCCACCATCAGAAAGAATATAAAAGCTGGAATAAGGAATCAGAGAAAACAAACAAATCAGAGAGAATATGTTCAACTCTATGAACAGTCACATAGCTGTGATAACGCTGCTGATGTTTACCACGATGAACGAAGGTAAGCAAATATTAAATGACAGTGCAATTTTGACTCAATATATTAAAATAAGCCCATTTTACACTATGACTAAAGGTATAGATTTAAACAAGCAGACAAATGTAAGAATATTCCGCGATCGTATTCAGTAAGGTAAAAGAATGTGTCCAAATAACACATTTCAGTATCAGCTCAAAACATCAACGTCATCAATGATGAATAATAATAATAATAATATCCACTCCCGAATTAGGAAGTTAGGGCAAGAATCATTGAGTTCTATGTTTTCAGCGTGGTCGAATCTTTGAAATGGCGTTCTGCTCATTAGAGTGTTTCAGATCAAGGAATCCAAAACAACAAATACTCAAATGTCTCTTTTCAGGAGTCTGAAATTAACAAATTCCTTCACCGTATTCATGTGTTACTACAGTTTCAGTTTGTATAACGATGGCTGTTCTCTTCATTTTGTCAATTTTCAAGCCAAATTGACTAAGTTAGAAACCATCGAGAATTTGCTTTCGGAAGCTCGAGGTGAGACGACTGACTACATGTTGATATATATATTAACCTACACAAGCTTTTGTGTGTGCACTATTCCTCGATGTTTCGTCATATCCTATCGCCTTCAATAATCGATGCCAAATCATTCTCGCTTTCTTGTTCATAGGAGAATTACCCGGATTAACCCATTTGATTATCACCAGAGACGCAGAGATTGAACATTTGAAAGGTAAATATGTGATTGATAATTTGACTTGGTCTACTCGATTTCTGCATCCCCTATTCTCATGAAATGTTTGTTATATTTTTAGGCGTTTTTACCTTTAGGCTATTTCATTGAAATGCTTTGACTTTTTATATTGTGAATACATGGAGCCAGCTGACATGAGATATACTCAAGTGAGGATATTATATTAGTGCCATGCGAAAAATGATGAACTCACCAACATGCGTCTACCTGATTTCTCAATTCACTCCACATTTATTCACATTCGCTCCAATTGTAAATTTCACACGTTCATGTTCATGACATTCACTCTGTTGTAAAATGTATACAATACGGTTTAGCCATGCTCTTATAATAGCCAATTTGCTCACTGCTTTCCACATGCTGAATGTTGAATTTATACAAGTGTCCGGTGTCATGCAATCGATCTTATCACTCCTCTCTTTCACTAGATAAGATTATTCTTGAAACCGGAGGAAAAAGCAACAGCACCATTGAGAAATGTGAGTGGTGATTTTAAGAATTTCAATGACTAACAAACTCTTTCAGATATCAGCTGTTGGAGAGAGTATTATGGAACCTACTATAGATACATGCTATTCGAAAGTATGTTCCAAGTATTAATTTAACCGTATATACTGTTTTATTGCATGGGTATCCTATGAGTTTTGGTTATTGCTCTTGTTCAAAATATTCAAAATTTGGGTTGAAGACAGCAACTTTGCTGCCAGAACAATTCAGTGATATCCTACACCTATAAAACTTCACTTGCAGACTTGAAACAATTATCTTATCTAATGAGATTACTCACTGCTTTAATGTTGACAGCGATGTTATCCATTGAAGCTGTTAAAAAGGATACATTTTCGGGGAAATTCACTTCTGCTTTCTTCGAGATGTTATCAACTTGCTTCAATCTACATTCTAGTTTGTCACACACACTAACTGATCCTTCGATTTGGATCACCATGTTCAAAACTCTGATGTCACGCGTCACTTATGTAGGTTTAGTCGCCGATATCGATCATTAGGCAAATGACGTCAACTAAACATTCCGATGGAATGAACACTTCATTGACTCGATGAAGATATTCATCTTGAAGCTGTACGGAGAACAACCTAATGGAAAGTGAACGATTGAAGAGAATCATTTCCGTCTTTAGATGTAATTAGGAATAATAAATTTCACGAGAACTGGGTGTTTTGAGCTGGTCAGTGTAATTACATTGTGATAATCAGTGGAAGAGATTGACAAATTACGGTTGAGTATATCGTGGAATTAGTCAGTTGTGATGTTAATCCACATACATCACAGTGATGAATGCAGCATTGGGAATTATTCCTTTGCATAATTTCTCAATGTCAGTTATCATTTTCTGTCTTTATAGGGGTGAAAAACGGACTTGTACACATACCTGGGGATTATGGTAAATTGAATTTACGTCAGTTGACTTCATGTGATGTTGTTATCAGTTTATCTGCACCCAGTATATAATTTGAGTGTTGACAATGCTTCTCGAATTACAATGCATTCATCGAGTTTGTTCAACAGCGACAACCGCATGGAGTTCGACAACGAATTGTATACCTCAATGTGTTATTAAGGTTACTCATTGGCATATAAACGCCTCATCTAGTTAACCGAACTTAACACATGTCATATGATAAGGAACTACTGCATTTAAGCGCTGAAGATATCCTTGGGCATCGTGTAGTCAATTCATATTCGACTTGCATTACTCTCACCCTCTATTTACCAACCATCGTACCGTCTTTCCATACTCTCCCTGATCCCTCCAGCAAAAATACTTCCTGAATTATTACTTCAACAATTTATCAGAATTACTACTACTCAATGATAGTGGGTTTTCCAGTGTACATGATGACCACCGGAATTGGATCGTATATTTTACAGGCCATTTTGTGAAAAACATGCATCACTGTGTTACTGCACAATCCAAAACCAGAGTTATCGAAGACAGTTACCTTAGTCCATATGGTCACTTCAGAATATTTCTGATAGGAGCATCTGAATCACTCACCAATCAGGATATAAACTCACGCATTTATCTAACAAAACTTTCGTAATATAATGAACATGAGTTGATATGTTGTTTAAAATCCATTTAACATACAGGTCCCTTCATTGTGGAACATTCTCTCCGACAATATTACAAGGAAGAGGCTAAGGCTCACGAAGGTAAACAGTTTAGTTTTGAATCCTTCCTTCTCACTTATCCAATAAACATTCCTAACTTAACTTGTCAGTTACCTCGGCATCAACTTGAGTATTGAACCCACCTGATTATCTCAGACACAAACCACAGAGTTCAGATTGGAGATTTGTAACTCCAGATAACTCAGTACACATTGATTTTTGTATGTTTTTACATTCAATAGGCCTGTAGTCGCATGCGTATTTGCTATTATTAATAACTTCCAAGAATGTCTCCCTTCTCTGTGTTTCAATATGCTGTTCTTCCCTTCTGTTTCTTCATCAGCTCAATGGCGATCAGTATCAGCAACAGTCGACTGTGAACATTACAAACCGTCAGGAAACGAAAAAGGTAATCTACTAATGACAATTCACCCTTGAATAAAATTATGTAAGATTACTGCTTTGGAGGATATTGACAGAAAATGTCTGAATTTCACCAGTTCCATTTTCGGAAGTCAAATGAATCCTCATATGAGTTTCATTCACAGGATTCACATACCTTTCGATCTGGTGGCATTGTCAGTGAATTCGAAGTTGAAATACCAATGTGCAGGATGCAACATCAAGTGTGAAATCAGACTGCTTTCCCTTCAAGGTCGCTATCACACATTACATCTCTAAAGTGCAATGACGTGAAATCTGCAGTTTGTGAAACTATCTGATGTAGTTGAGACTGCATTTGATGTAATTTGAACACTCCTGTATATTGACAAATAAGGTAGACTTTTCAGTCCACTTATACTAATGGAGTCAATATAATGTGATTTCAACACATAACGAGAGAGAATTAAGGGTTTCTCGAAAGTATTATAACTGTCTTCAAAGACATTCAATGATCGACATTGAAGTGAATGAACACGTAGTCGTTTGCTTGAACAACAACACACTAAACCAAACCATCAATTATTGCACAGTATTCTGCATGATCACCCTTCACTATATATGATTCTGTGATATTCAATTTTGAAATTCAGACATTATTCTTCAAATTTCAGATCTTCAGCAATTGAAGCATGCAATAGAAAATTCATGTCGTTGCAATATGTTTTACAATGAAACTATTAGTGAGTACAATTTATTAGCTACTGGGTTTTCCGCACTGCATTTATGCATGAATATCTGTTCACAAATACAAAGCACAAACAATTATCTGACATTTTGTGTAATCAGCGAATGATGTACACTTGATTATGGCTATATATTTAAAACCGAAATCGTTAATAGATTTATGTTGGAATATGCAGGTTCTCGTAGAACTGTGCATCATTTAGCAGCCGGTACGCGATGCTAGGTTGTATATAGGTCTATTCACTGAAGAATGCCAACCGACCACAGAAAGCTAGAATAATCTGAAATGTCGACGAACGAATCAATTTCCAGGTAGAAATCATCAAAATGTCCGAAGGCGACAGTTTATTTACACAGAGGCTGACCTTATGCACATCCACACACAACTGACTATAACTCTGTTGTGCAACGTGGAAATGCAAAGAAGGGACTTGATCACTATGAGTGCTTGCCTGACAATGGAGTAAATTTAGGAGAAAGTGATCGGTTGGGGAGAAACTGTCCAATGCGTTCACATGTGTGTTTATATGCGTCTTGGAGACCAGCCATCACATTTGTCAAAGTCAGAATCAACAACTATAACGACAGTGAATCGTCATCACAACGCAGATTTTGGAATAACTGCCGCCTTCAATTCTTTACCAGTAGACTACCTAACACATGAGTGTTACCACAATACGAGCAGTGTTGAATGATTGAGCATGAAATGTTTTTCATAAAATAACTTGTATAAACACGTACTTATTTAGCGTATTTAATTACTACTGATCAGATATCATCTTTTATAGGATAGGGAAAATTTACACTGATGAACAAGGCTTGCTTTCCTTCAACTAACACGTCAAATTAATATTGCTCTTTCACTTTCTAGTGCTCATGGAAATTTACGAAACTGCCATTAAGAAGTTGAAACGTAAGATTCACCTACTCTCTCATGCGAACTTCCTACATTTCATCTTTCAAAATTGAATTATGAGAGAAACTGTCATCGTATCTTTTTAGATAAATATGCATAACTGAAATTGAAATGCAGTCCACGTGAAAGTAGTATTATTTGTATTTCGAGCACCAGAGACAAGAGTTGCATGTATCGGTGTATCATTGTATTATTCGTGTAATATCATATCATATGGACTCACGCATAGTATTGTGAAGGCAATCATGCAGTGAATCTCAGATTTGGCATCCACAAAAATCAACCGACGACTTCTTCACAGGTAAACACTAGTTTAAGTGAAGTCGATTCGAATCATGTCAGACATCCCCAACACAACACCATTGACAGCCGCACCCGCATCTTTTTCATTGAATGATGAATAGTAATCCAAAGTGGATTATCTATCCACTCCCGAATTAGGAAGTTAGGGCAAGAATCATTGAGTTCTATGTTTTCAGCGTGGTCGAATCTTTGAAATGGCGTTCTGCTCATTAGAGTGTTTCAGATCAAGGAATCCAAAACAACAAATACTCAAATGTCTCTTTTCAGGAGTCTGAAATTAACAAATTCCTTCACCGTATTCATGTGTTACTACAGTTTCAGTTTGTATAACGATGGCTGTTCTCTTCATTTTGTCAATTTTCAAGCCAAATTGACTAAGTTAGAAACCATCGAGAATTTGCTTTCGGAAGCTCGAGGTGAGACGACTGACTACATGTTGATATATATTAACCTACACAAGCTTTTGTGTGTGCACTATTCCTCGATGTTTCGTCATATCCTATCACCTTCAATAATCGATGCCAAATCATTCTCGCTTTCTTGTTCATAGGAGAATTACCCGGATTAACCCATTTGATTATCACCAGAGACGCAGAGATTGAACATTTGAAAGGTAAATATGTATTTTAATGTGATTGATAATTTGACTTGGTCTACTCGATTTCTGCATCCCCTGTTCTCATGAGATATTTGTTAAATTTTTAGGAGTTTTTACCTTTAGGCTATTTCATTGAAATGCTTTGACTTTTTATATTGTGAATACATGGAGCCAGCTGACATGAGATATACTCAAGTGAGGATATTATATTAGTGCCATGCGAAAAATGATGAACTCACCAACATGCGTCTACCTGATTTCTCAATTCACTTCACATTTATTCACATTCGCTCCAATTGTAAATTTCACACGTTCATGTTCATGACATTCACTCTGTTGTAAAATGTATACAATACGGTTTAGCCATGCTCTTATAATAGCCAATTTGCTCACTGCTTTCCACATGCTGAATGTTGAATTTATACAGGTGTCCGGTGTCATACAATCGATCTTATCACTCCTCTCTTTCACTAGATAAGATTATTCTTGAAACCGGAGGAAAAAGCAACAGCACCATTGAGAAATGTGAGTGGTGATTTTAAGAATTTCAATGACTAACAAACTCTTTCAGATATCAGCTGTTGGAGAGAGTATTATGGAACCTACTATAGATACATGCTATTCGAAAGTATGTTCCAAGTATTAATTTAACCGTATATGCTGTTTTATTGCATGGGTATCCTATGAGTTTTGGTTATTGCTCTTGTTTAAAATATTCAAAATTTGGGTTGAAGACAGCAACTTTGCTGCCAGAACAATTCAGTGATATCCTACAACTATAAAACTTCACTTGCAGACTTGAAACAATTATCTTATCTAATGAGATTACTCACTGGTTTAATGTTGACAGCGATGTTATCCATTGAAGCTGTTAAAAAGGATACATTTTCGGGGAATTCACTTCTGCTTTCTTCGAGATGTTATCAACTTGCTTCAATCTACATCCCAGTTTGTCACACACACTAACTGATCCTTCGATTTGGATCACCATGTTCAAAACTCTGATGTCACGCGTCATTTATGTAGGTTTAGTCGCCGATATCGATCATTAGGCAAATGAAGTCAACTAGACATTCCGATGGAATGAACACTTCATTGACTCGATGAAGATATTCATCTTGAAGCTGTACGGAGAACAACCTAATGGAAAGTGAACGATTGAAGAGAATCATTTCCGTCTTTAGATGTAATTATGAATAATAAATTTCACGAGAACTGGGTGTTTTGAGCTGGTAAGTGTAATTACATTGTGATAATCAGTGGAAGAGATTGACAAATTACGGTTGAGTATATCGTGGAATTAGTCAGTTGTGATGTTAATCCACATACATCACAGTGATGAATGCAGCATTGGGAATTATTCCTTTGCATAATTTCTCAATGTCAGTTATCATTTTCTGTCTTTATAGGGGTGAAAAACGGACTTGTACACATACCTGGGGATTATGGTAAATTGAATTTACGTCAGTTGACTTCATGTGATGTTGTTATCAGTTTATCTGCACCCAGTATATAATTTGAGTGTTGACAATGCTTCTCGAGTTACAATGCATTCATCGAGTTTGTTCAACAGCGACAACCGCATGGAATTCGACAACGAATTTTCTACCTCAATGTGTTATTAAGGTTACTCATTGGCATATAAACGCCTCATCTAGTTAACCGAACTTAACACATGTCATATGATAAGGAACTACTGCATTTAAGCGCTGAAGATATCCTTGGGCATCGTGTAGTCAATTCATATTCGACTTGCATTACTCTCACCCTCTATTTACCAACCATCGTACCGTCTTTCCATACTCTCCCTGATCCCTCCAGCAAAAATACTTCCTGAATTATTACTTCAACAATTTATCAGAATTACTACTACTCAATGATAGTGGGTTTTCCAGTGTACATGATGACCACCGGAATTGGATCGTATATTTTACAGGCCATTTTGTGAAAAACATGCATCACTGTGTTACTGCACAATCCAAAACCAGAGTTATCGAAGACAGTTACCTTAGTCCATATGGTCACTTCAGAATATTTCTGATAGGAGCATCTGAATCACTCACCAACCAGGATATAAACTCACGCATTTATCTAACAAAACTTTCGTAATATAATGAACATGAGTTGATATGTTGTTTAAAATCCATTTTACATATAGGTCCCTTCATTGTGGAACATTCTCTCCGACAATATTACAAGGAAGAGGCTAATGCTCACGAAGGTGAACAGTTTAGTTTTGAATCCTTCCTTCTCACTTATCCAATAAACATTCCTAACTTAACTTGTCAGTTACGTCGGCATCAACTTGAGTTTTGAACACACCTGATTATCTCAGACACAAACCACAGAGTTCAGATTGGAGATTTGTATCTCCAGATAACTCAGTACACATTGATTTTTGTATGTTTTTACATTCAATAGGCCTGTAGTTGCATGCGTATTTGCTATTATTATTAACGTCAAAGAATGTTTCCCTTCTCTGTGTTTCAATATGCTGTTCTTCCCTTCTGTTTCTTCATCAGCTCAATGGCGATCAGTATCAGCAACAGTCGACTGTGAACATTACAAACCGTCAGGAAACGAAAAAGGTAATCTACTAATGACAATTCACCTTTGAATAAAATTATGTAAGATTACTGCTTTGGAGGATATTGACAGAAAATGTCTGAATTTCACCAGTTCCATTTTCGGAAGTCAAATGAATCCTCATATGAGTTTCATTCACAGGATTCACATACCTTTCGATCTGGTGGAATTGTCAGTGAATTCGAAGTTGAAATACCAATGTGCAGGATGCAACATCAAGTGTGAAATCAGACTGCTTTCCCTTCAAAGTCGCTATCACACATTACATCTCTAAAGTGCAACGACGTGAAATCTGCAGTTTGTGAAACTATCTGATGTAGTTCAGACTGCATTTGATGTAATTTGAACACTCCTGTATATTGACAAATAAGGTAGACTTTTCAGTCCACTTATACTAATGGAGTCAATATAATGTGATTTCAACACATAACGAGAGAGAATAAAGGGTTTCTCGAAAGTATTATAACTGTCTTCAAAGACATTCAATGATCGACATTGAAGTGAATGAACACGTAGTCGTCTGCTTAAACAACAACACACTAAACGAAATCATCAATTATTGCACACTATTCTGCATGATCACCCTTCACTATATGATTCTGTGATATTCAATTTTGAAATTCAGACATTATTCTTCAAAATTTCAGATCTTCAGCAATTGAAGCATGCAATAGAAAATTCATTCCGTAGCAAAATGCTCTATAGTCAAAATGATTGTATGTTCTGACTTTTTTATCATGAGTTTTAATCACTGCATTTATGCGTGAATATCTGTTCACAAATAGAAAGCACACACAATTTTCCGATATTTTGTGTAATCAGTTGTCCTATTATTATGTGTAAAATCCTCGGGAATAACATGAATAATTTTCGATTGACGATGGGTTTATATTGGAAACCGAAATCATTAATAGATTTATCTTGGAATATGCAGATTCTCAGAGAACTGTGCATCATTTAGCAGCCGGTACGCGATGCTAGGTTGTATATAGGTCTATTCACTGAAGAATGCCGACCGACCACCGAAAGCTATATAAAATGTGTTATGTCGACGAACGAATCAATTTCCAGGTAGAAATCATCAAAATGTCCGAAGGCGACAGTTTATTTACACAGAGGCTGACCTTATGCACATCCACACACAAGTGGCTATAACTCTGTTGTGCAACGTGGAAATGCAAAGAAGGGACTTGATCACTATGAGTGCTTGCCTGACAATGGAGTAAATTTAGGAGAAAGTGATCGGTTGGGGAGAAACTGTCCGATGCGTTCACATGTGTGTTTATATGCGTCTTGGAGACCAGCCATCACATTTGTCAAAGACAGAATCAACAACTATAACGACAGTGAATCGTCATCACAACGCAGATTTTGGAATAACTGCCGCCTTCAATTCTTTACCAGTAGACTACCTAACACATGAGTGTTACCACAATACGAGCAGTGTTGAATGATTGAGCATGAAATGTTTTTCATGAAATAATCTGTATACATACGCAGTTATTCAGCGTATTTAATTACTACTGATCAGATATCATCTTTTGTAGGATAGGGAAAATTTATACTGATGAACAAGGCTTGCTTTCCTTCAACTAACACGTCACATTAATATTGCTCTTTCACTTTCTAGTGCTCATGGAAATTTACGAAACTGCCATTAAGAAGTTGAAACGTAAGATTCACCTACTCTCTCATGCGAACTTCCCACATTTCATCTTTCAAAATTGAATTATGAGAGAAACTGTCATCGTATCTTTTTAGATAAATATGCATAACTGAAATTGAAATGCAGTCCACGTGAAAGTAGTATTATTTGTATTTCGAGCACCAGAGACAAGAGTTGCATGTATCGGTGTATCATTGTATTATTCGTGTAATATCATATCATATGGACTCACGCATAGTATTGTGAAGGCAATCATGCAGTGAATCTCAGATTTGGCATCCACAAAAATCAACCGACGACTTCTTCCCAGGTGAACACTAGTGGTGGTCAAGTCGATTGGAAAAATGTCAGACATCCTTAACACATCCTCATTGACTGCCACTGCCTCACCCACACCCACATTATTGCGAATGCCTGCATTTGAGATATCTGAAATATAAGAAGTGGAATAGGTTTCGTGGAGTCACTCTCTGTCAATCAATTTGTATATTGATTAGTGTTCAGATAATTCGTTTTGTTTTCTTCAATTTTTAAGTTTTACTTCGTTAGTGAAATTCTTTTATTGATGCCCGTCTCTCCCAATGCTCACAATATTCATCTTCGTTTACCTTCTCTTAAAATCATAAATGCCCTTCTGCTTTTATTTTCTACACAGGAGTAGGAGGAAAAAACTAAAGAAGAGTGTGAATGTCCTGGTCACGCGAGCATCGGAAACGTTTATGCTGTATATTACTGAAATGTATTGATGTGCAGTGGATTTCATGAAAACATTTACCTAAATAACTCTTTTTAATGTTAACGCTTACTGTCAGCTTTCTAAATACAATTTAATCACCAAGTTAATTAACTTATTCCGACTAATCCGATGTTCTCAGTGTGAGTCATTTTCATTTCTATCGACTTTAACAAATTCAAACTTAAAATGATGGTGTATGTACTTCAGCATTTAATTTCATCCATTAGGAAGATTTTCATTTAATAACGATATCAGTGAGGTTGGCCAAACTGCTTTGATCGTATCAGGAGGGTCTGTGTTGCTTATTGACCACCTCAATGGTAACAATATATGAAAGAATGGAAATATGATTCATTTGAACATGATGTGACTGAATGGGCTGACATGCAACCTGATATCGAAGCCTCAACACTTGTAATCCAAGTATTTGTCGGTGGTGATCGTAGCTGTAACATTGAAGCAGTATGGTGGTAGGTCGAATGGCTGGTAGCAATTACGCCAGTTATGTATTCACAGATCCCGAGATTTCAAGGTGCAAAACACTGATTGCAGGATGATGAGATAATATTTTCACCAACAAAAATTATATGCATAGTGGAATGTAGTTCTCATTTGAAAATTCTCAATTTGGATATTTTCACAATCAAAGGAGGCAATTCAGCGAAGAGACTCTCATCAAACAGTCGATTATCAAGCTGCACAATTATATATGTATTTATATATACGTAGTTATTTAAGAAATTATATCCTGGGAGTAAATCGAAATGCAGGTGTGAATAATGGGATAATAATAGTAGCATGAACTGCAGGTTAATACTTTCTAATTATGCAGATAGTCAAATGTCAATATGCGACTCTGATTGAATTCATTTGATATCAGTGACAAACTGGGCTAGATATATGACAGTTACAGATCAATGACTTGACAGCAAACGATTGACTGAACGATTTCCTATGGAGTGCCATTTCCACACATCGTTTCGACATATTCTTTTAAGACAAAAAATAGAATGAAACGTCACAAATACAAAATAACCTTGAGTTAAACACGAATACAAAACTAGTAATACTTTGGCTTTCAAAATGCAAAATTAATACAATCAATGAATAAGTGAAATGTGAACAGATTGTGCTCGATATATTGCTAGCAAGCGATTGTTAGGCTAACTAAATGTGACACAGCCTAGTGAGAACAAAATTTAGATAAGATTCGTTTAATTCCCTCAATCTGATCTAATCATCATTCTACTCACAGGATTGTTATCGTGCCCGTGCAATGAGCACTTCAAACTGATCTTAGAGAATCCATAAATTCTACGTTATCTCAAGCATTTATTGGGCTTCCACTGATGACAATTTACTATGAGGCTATTATAATCTAGAGGATTTGCGGTCGTACGACATGTTCGGAAACTCAGTGAAATAAACGGAATGGAAATATTACTGCTGGCTAGTTGTCACAGTACAAAAGGCATGCAAACTACACTTGATAGTTTATTTCAGTTGCACTGTCTGTTTCACAGATAACTGCATCTTAATAAGGACGGACCAGTTTATTCATCAAATGCGGGGAAGCAAGTAATGGAATTGATTCGGCTATATACAGATTAGAATATGCAAGTCGGTCATCGCTTGTAGCAAAATATCCAATTGGCGGGTAATCCCTAAACTGCCAAATTCTCTTCAAAAACGCGTCGTCATCCGAAAGATGTCATTTAGACATGTTCAGACAGAAACACCTTAAATCAGCTTCTTAGTAGCATAGATTGACACGAATGTGAAGGTTATTTTGCAAATCAGTGACTTTCACAAGTAGTTGGAAATGAAAGATAAGCCTAGTTGTTCTTGTGGAATGTGATACAATGTAGTATTCTGGCTATTCACAAGTGCCACTCACTCCTTCTTCAAATATGTTCTCCATTCAGTGTTAACCAACGTTGTTGATATTACCCACCTAAGTTAATTTAAACTACTTGTCTGTTTTCTGTAGTCCTCGTGTATAATCTGCTCCCAAAAGATAAACATACATTTCCGTTGAAGTTCTCTGCATCCATTGTACTGGCATTCATTTCGAATTGTAGTAATCACCTTCTCATGGTAAAGAGGGATTTACTCTGCATGCCTCTTTTATGCTCCAATCTGTCTTTCTGTCTCACTGAGAAGTTTTCTCATGCGAACCTATTCATTCTTGATCAGTACATCTGCACATTCACGCAGATCTACTCTTGTCTTATTGATAAACGAAGAATGACTGTGGTTTCCACATCATCCAGGCTGGACACCTGACTATTTCAAGTTAATTATTTCTGTTCATCGTTAATCTTATGTTCAGTACGTCTCCTAGTCGTCAGCAAGACAGGTGTTCAGGATTCAACGCTCAACTCAAATGTCTCGTTAACTAGATCGAATTCTGGACGCAAAATTATCATTGCAGACTTCTTACAAGAAATCTAGATGATGTTCTTTGTTTAGTATTCTCATAAGTTCACGTATTCTGCTTAATCTTCATTTCATTCACACTGTGAATTGAGACATACTCGACAATAGAAGCACAACGGAATTTCTGCATGCTCTTGAGATGACGTGACTCACGAGTTGAATGCCAGTTGATAGTGAGTGCTGTGTAAAGCTTACTTGATATTTTTGTGAACGCTGGAAATGCTTCTAGCCTATCTGGCTTTCTGGAGAGCCATATTCATCATTCAATCGGAGTTTTATTGAAGTCATTTGTGTGGGGCACCGGATTGCAATGACGGATCGTGTAAGCCGCAAGTGTCAACTGTCGCGGTAAAATTCTTGCTCCATCTCCACCGTTATTCAAGACTACATGGACGGTTGGAGACTCCGTGCTGTGAAGTGGTGAAGTTGTTATCATTGGTGCACATTGCTGAACGATCATTCCGATATCTGATCAAGTCAAATTAGAAGGAAACACTTATACTTGAGATTAGCTGTTTATTGAAGAGAGTGAAAATATCAACATTTACTCTGCCACTGTTCAGTCAAATGACATTAAAAATTAGAAGACGCTCTATAGTCAGTGTGTCAAGAAAATTCCCTCATAATAAGTGACACAATCACACACTAGTTCAACATAACAATATCTAACAGCGTTATTTCCGGCCATGTCGAGTTAGTGAATAGAGGGAGACAATACACAAACAGATTTTCGTAAATGCACTGGCGAAACTCACAAACGCTCGGAGACCATGTTTTTCACAATAAATTTTCATAGGACATATTATGCAGACAGGTGGAACAGCTATTGGATCCTTTGCTAATATCAGCATGGATTTCAGTCCAACAGCACGTTAGGCGGGCTGATGATTCCATCTAATCCGCTTTCAGATGAGCAGAATGAAGATCATCCTAAATCGCTAATTTCCGAAGAAATATTTCATCATTCAGACAATTAAACACAGCGAGATACACTGAAATCTCATTTCTTTGCTTAGAGAATTCCGAAAATCTTCACACAATAAGTGTGATTCAGCCGTCTTTGACATATCGATAATGCTTCCAAATCTGATTCTGTGATATTCAATTTTGAAATTCAGACATTATTCTTCAGATTTCAGATCTTCAGCAATTGAAGCATGCAATAGAAAATTCATGTCGTTGCAATATGTTTAACAATGAAACTATTAGTGAGTACAATTTAATAGCTACTGGGTTTTCCGCACTGCATTTATGCATGAATATCTGTTCACAAATACAAAGCACACACAATTTTCTGACATTTTGTGTAAACAGCGAATGATGTACACTTGATTATGGCTATATATTTAAAACCGAAATCGTTAATAGATTTATGTTGGAATATGCAGGTTCTCGTAGAACTGTGCATCATTTAGCAGCCGGTACGCGATGCTAGGTTGTATATAGGTCTATTCACTGAAGAATGCCGACCGAACACAGAAAGCTATATAAAATGTGTTATGTCGACGAACGAATCAATTTCCAGGTAGAAATCGTCAAAATGTCCGAAGGCGACAGTTTATTTACACAGAGGCTGAACTTATGCACATCCACACACAACTGACTATAACTCTGTTGTGCAACGTGGAAATGCAAAGAAGGGACTTGATCACTATGAGTGCTTGCCTGACAATGGAGTAAATTTAGGAGAAAGTGATCGGTTGGGGAGAAACTGTCCGATGTGTTCAAATGTGTGTTTATATGCGTCTTGGAGACCAGCCATCACATTTGTCAAAGTCAGAATCAACAACTATAACGACAGTGAATCGTCATCACAACGCAGATTTCGGAATAACTGCCGCCTTCAATTCTTTACCAGTAAACTACCTAACACATGAGTGTTACCACAATACGAGCAGCGTTGAATGATTGAGCATGAAATGTTTTTCATAAAATAACTTGTATATACACGTACTTATTCAGCGTATTTTATTACTACTGATCAGATATCATCTTTTGTAGGATAGGGAAAATTTATACTGATGAACAAGGCTTGCTTTCCTTCAACTAACACGTCACATTAATATTGCTCTTTCACTTTCTAGTGCTCATGGAAATTTATGAAACTGCCATTAAGAAGTTGAAACGTAAGATTCACCTACTCTCTCATGCGAACTTCCCACATTTCATCTTTCAAAATTGAATTATGAGAGAAACTGCCATCCCATCTGTTTAGATGAATATGCATAACTGAAAGTGAAATGCAGTCCACGTGAAAGTAGTATTATTTGTATTTCGAGCACCAGAGACAAGAGTTGCATGTATCGGTGTATCATTATTTTATTCATGTAATATCATATCATATGGACTCACGCATAGTATTGTGAAGGCAATCATGCAGTGTATCTCAGATTTGGCATCCACAAAACTCAACCGACGACTTCTTCACAGGTGAACACTAGTTTTGGTGAAGTCGATTCGAATCATGTCAGACATCCCCAACACAACACCATTGACAGCCGCACCCGCATCTTTTTCATTGAATGATGAATAATAATCCAAAGTGGATTATCTATCCACTCCCGAATTAGGAAGTTAGGGCAAGAATCATTGAGTTCTATGTTTTCAGCGTGGTCGAATCCTTCAAATGGCGTTCTGCTCATTAGAGTGTTTCAGATCAAGGAATCCAAAACAACAAATACTCAAATGTCTCTTTTCCGTTGTCTGAAATTAACAAATTCCTTCACCGTATTCATGTGTTACTACAGTTTCAGTTTGTATAACGATGGCTGTTCTCTTCATTTTGTCAATTTTCAAGCCAAATTGACTAAGTTAGAAACCATCGAGAATTTGCTTTCGGAAGCTCGAGGTGAGACGACTGACTACATGTTGATATATATATTAACCTACACAAGCTTTTGTGTGTGCACTATTCCTCGATGTTTCGTCATATCCTATCGCCTTCAATAATCGATGCCAAATCATTCTCGCTTTCTTGTTCATAGGAGAATTACCCGGATTAACCCATTTGATTATCACCAGAGACGCAGAGATTGAACATTTGAAAGGTAAATATGTGATTGATAATTTGACTTGGTCTACTCGATTTCTGCATCCCCTATTCTCATGAAATGTTTGTTATATTTTTAGGCGTTTTTACCTTTAGGCTATTTCATTGAAATGCTTTGACTTTTTATATTGTGAATACATGGAGCCAGCTGACATGAGATATACTCAAGTGAGGATATTATATTAGTGCCATGCGAAAAATGATGAACTCACCAACATGCGTCTACCTGATTTCTCAATTCACTCCACATTTATTCACATTCGCGCCAATTGTAAATTTCACACTTTCATGTTCATGACATTCACTCTGTTGTAAAATGTATACAATACGGTTTAGCCATGCTCTTATAATAGCCAATTTGCTCACTGCTTTCCACATGCTGAATGTTGAATTTATACAAGTGTCCGGTGTCATACAATCGATCTTATCACTCCTCTCTTTCACTAGATAAGATTATTCTTGAAACTGGAGGAAAAAGCAACAGCACCATTGAGAAATGTGAGTGGTGATTTTAAGAATTTCAATGACTAACAAACTCTTTCAGATATCAGCTGTTGGAGAGAGTATTATGGAACCTACTATAGATACATGCTATTCGAAAGTATGTTCCAAGTATTAATTTAACCGTATATACTGTTTTATTGCATGGGTATCCTATGAGTTTTGGTTATTGCTCTTGTTCAAAATATTCAAAATTTGGGTTGAAGACAGCAACTTTGCTGCCAGAACAATTCAGTGATATCCTACACCTATAAAACTTCACTTGCAGACTTGAAACAATTATCTTATCTAATGAGATTACTCACTGCTTTAATGTTGACAGCGATGTTATCCATTGAAGCTGTTAAAAAGGATACATTTTCGGGGAAATTCACTTCTGCTTTCTTCGAGATGTTATCAACTTGCTTCAATCTACATTCTAGTTTGTCACACACACTAACTGATCCTTCGATTTGGATCACCATGTTCAAAACTCTGATGTCACGCGTCACTTATGTAGGTTTAGTCGCCGATATCGATCATTAGGCAAATGACGTCAACTAAACATTCCGATGGAATGAACACTTCATTGACTCGATGAAGATATTCATCTTGAAGCTGTACGGAGAACAACCTAATGGAAAGTGAACGATTGAAGAGAATCATTTCCGTCTTTAGATGTAATTATGAATAATAAATTTCACGAGAACTGGGTGTTTCGAGCTGGTCAGTGTAATTACATTGTGATAATCAGTGGGAGAGATTGACAAATTACGGTTGAGTATATCGTGGAATTAGTCAGTTGTGATGTTAATCCACATACATCACAGTGATGAATGCAGCATTGGGAATTATTCCTTTGCATAATTTCTCAATGTCAGTTATCATTTTCTGTCTTTATAGGGGTGAAAAACGGACTTGTACACATACCTGGGGATTATGGTAAATTGAATTTACGTCAGTTGACTTCATGTGATGTTGTTATCAGTTTATCTGCACCCAGTATATAATTTGAGTGTTGACAATGCTTCTCGAATTACAATGCATTCATCGAGTTTGTTCAACAGCGACAACCGCATGGAGTTCGACAACGAATTTTCTACCTCAATGTGTTATTAAGGTTACTCATTGGCATATAAACGCCTCATCTAGTTAACCGAACTTAACACATGTCATATGATAAGGAACTACTGCATTTAAGCGCTGAAGATATCCTTGGGCATCGTGTAGTCAATTCATATTCGACTTGCATTACTCTCACCCTCTATTTACCAACCATCGTACCGTCTTTCCATACTCTCCCTGATCCCTCCAGCAAAAATACTTCCTGAATTATTACTTCAACAATTTATCAGAATTACTACTACTCAATGATAGTGGGTTTTCCAGTGTACATGATGACCACCGAAATTTGATCGTATATTTTACAGGCCATTTTGTGGAAAACATTCATCACTGTGTTACTGCACAATCCAAAACCAGAGTTATCGAAGACAGTTACCTTAGTCCATATGGTCGCTTCAGAATATTTCTGATAGGAGCATCTGAATCACTCACCAATCAGGATATAAACTCACGCATTTATCTAACAAAACTTTCGTAATATAATGAACATGAGTTGATATGTTGTTTAAAATCCATTTAACATACAGGTCCCTTCATTGTGGAACATTCTCTCCGACAATATTACAAAGAAGAGGCTAAGGCTCACGAAGGTAAACAGTTTAGTTTTGAATCCTTCCTTCTCACTTATCCAATAAACATTCCTAACTTAACTTGTCAGTTACGTCGGCATCAACTTGAGTTTTGAACACACCTGATTATCTCAGACACAAACCACAGAGTTCAGATTGGAGATTTGTAACTCCAGATAACTCAGTACACATTGATTTTTGTATGTTTTTACATTCAATAGGCCTGTAGTTGCATGCGTATTTGCTATTATTATTAACGTCAAAGAATGTTTCCCTTCTCTGTGTTTCAATATGCTGTTCTTCCCTTCTGTTTCTTCATCAGCTCAATGGCGATCAGTATCAGCAACAGTCGACTGTGAACATTACAAACCGTCAGGAAACGAAAAAGGTAATCTACTAATGACAATTCACCTTTGAATAAAATTATGTAAGATTACTGCTTTGGAGGATATTGACAGAAAATGTCTGAATTTCACCAGTTCCATTTTCGGAAGTCAAATGAATCCTCATATGAGTTTCATTCACAGGATTCACATACCTTTCGATCTGGTGGAATTGTCAGTGAATTCGAAGTTGAAATACCAATGTGCAGGATGCAACATCAAGTGTGAAATCAGACTGCTTTCCCTTCAAAGTCGCTATCACACATTACATCTCTAAAGTGCAATGACGTGAAATCTGCAGTTTGTGAAACTATCTGATGTAGTTGAGACTGCATTTGATGTAATTTGAACACTCCTGTATATTGACAAATAAGGTAGACTTTTCAGTCCACTTATACTAATGGAGTCAATATAATGTGATTTCAACACATAACGAGAGAGAATAAAGGGTTTCTCGAAAGTATTATAACTGTCTTCAAAGACATTCAATGATCGACATTGAAGTGAATGAACACGTAGTCGTCTGCTTAAACAACAACACACTAAACGAAACCATCAATTATTGCACACTATTCTGCATGATCACCCTTCACTATATGATTCTGTGATATTCAATTTTGAAATTCAGACATTATTCTTCAAAATTTCAGATCTTCAGCAATTGAAGCATGCAATAGAAAATTCATTCCGTAGCAAAATGCTCTATAGTCAAAATGATTGTATGTTCTGACTTTTTTATCATGAGTTTTAATCACTGCATTTATGCGTGAATATCTGTTCACAAATAGAAAGCACACACAATTTTCTGACATTTTGTGTAATCAGTTGTCCTATTATTATGTGTAAAATCCTCGGGAATAACATGAATAATTTTCGATTGACGATGGGTTTATATTGGAAACCGAAATCATTAATAGATTTATCTTGGAATATGCAGATTCTCAGAGAACTGTGCATCATTTAGCAGTCGGTACGCGATGCTAGGTTGTATATAGGTCTATTCACTGAAGAATGCCAACCGAACACAGAAAGCTATATAAAATGTGTTATGTCGACGAACGAATCAATTTCCAGGTAGAAATCATCAAAATGTCCGAAGGCGACAGTTTATTTACACAGAGGCTGACCTTATGCACATCCACACACAAGTGACTATAACTCTGTTGTGCAACGTGGAAATGCAAAGAAGGGACTTGATCACTATGAGTGCTTGCCTGACAATGGAGTAAATTTAGGAGAAAGTGATCGGTTGGGGAGAAACTGTCCGATGCGTTCACATGTGTGTTTATATGCGTCTTGGAGACCAGCCATCACATTTGTCAAAGTCAGAATCAACAACTATAACGACAGTGAATCGTCATCACAACGCAGATTTTGGAATAACTGCCGCCATCAATTCTATACCAGTAGACTACCTAACACATGAGTGTTACCACAATACGAGCAGTGTTGAATGATTGAGCATGAAATGTTTTTCATGAAATAATCTGTATACATACGCAGTTATTCAGCGTATTTAATTACTACTGATCAGATATCATCTTTTGTAGGATAGGGAAAATTTATACTGATGAACAAGGCTTGCTTTCCTTCAACTAACACGTCACATTAATATTGCTCTTTCACTTTCTAGTGCTCATGGAAATTTACGAAACTGCCATTAAGAAGTTGAAACGTAAGATTCACCTACTCTCTCATGCGAACTTCCCACATTTCATCTTTCAAAATTGAATTATGAGAGAAACTGTCATCGTATCTTTTTAGATAAATATGCATAACTGAAATTGAAATGCAGTCCACGTGAAAGTAGTATTATTTGTATTTCGAGCACCAGAGACAAGAGTTGCATGTATCGGTGTATCATTATTTTATTCATATAAAATCATATCATACGGACTCACGCATAGTATTGTGAAGGCAATCATGCAGTGAATCTCAGATTTGGCATCCACAAAAATCAACCGACGACTTCTTCCCAGGTGAACACTAGTGGTGGTCAAGTCGATTGGAAAAATGTCAGACATCCTTAACACATCCTCATTGACTGCCACTGCCTCACCCACACCCACATTATTGCGAATGCCTGCATTTGAGATATCTGAAATATAAGAAGTGGAATAGGTTTCGTGGAGTCACTCTCTGTCAATCAATTTGTATATGGATTAGTGTTCAGATCATTCGTTGTGTTTTCTTCAATTTTTAAATTTTACTTCGTTAGTCAAATTCTTTTATTGATGCCCGTCTCTCCCAATGCTCACAATATTCATCCTCGTTTACCTTCTCTTAAAATCATAAATGCCCTTCTGCTTTTATTTTCTACACAGGAGTAGGAGGAAAAAACTAAAGAAGAGTGTGAATGTCCTGGTCACGCGAGCATCGGAAACGTTTATGCTGCATATTACTGAAATGTATTGATGTGCAGTGGATTTCATGAAAACATTTACCTAAATAACTCTTTTTAATGTTAACGCTTACTGTCAGCTTTCTAAATACAATTTAATCACCAAGTTAATTAACTTATTCCGACTAATCCGATGTTCTCAGTGTGAGTCATTTTCATTTCTATCGACTTTAACAAATTCAAACTTAAAATGATGGTGTATGTACTTCAGCATTTAATTTCATCCATTAGGAAGATTTTCATTTAATAACGATATCAGTGAGGTTGGCCAAACTGCTTTGATCGTATCAGGAGGGTCTGTGTTGCTTATTGACCACCTCAATGGTAACAATATATGAAAGAATGGAAATATGATTCATTTGAACATGATGTGACTGAATGGGCTGACATGCAACCTGATATCGAAGCCTCAAAACTTGTAATCCAAGTATTTGTCGGTGGTGATCGTAGCTGTAACATTGAAGCAGTATGGTGGTAGGTCGAATGGCTGGTAGCAATTACGCCAGTTATGTATTCACAGATCCCGAGATTTCAAGGTGCAAAACACTGATTGCAGGATGATGAGATAATATTTTCACCAACAAAAATTATATGCATAGTGGAATGTAGTTCTCATTTGAAAATTCTCAATTTGGATATTTTCACAATCAAAGGAGGCAATTCAGCGAAGAGACTCTCATCAAACAGTCGATTATCAAGCTGCACAATTATATATGTATTTATATATACGTAGTTATTTAAGAAATTATATCCTGGGAGTAAATCGAAATGCAGGTGTGAATAATGGGATAATAATAGTAGCATGAACTGCAGGTTAATACTTTCTAATTATGCAGATAGTCAAATGTCAATATGCGACTCTGATTGAATTCATTTGATATCAGTGACAAACTGGGCTAGATATATGACAGTTACAGATCAATGACTTGACAGCAAACGATTGACTGAACGATTTCCTATGGAGTGCCATTTCCACACATCGTTTCGACATATTCTTTTAAGACAAAAAATAGAATGAAACGTCACAAATACAAAATAACCTTGAGTTAAACACGAATACAAAACTAGTAATACTTTGGCTTTCAAAATGCAAAATTAATACAATCAATGAATAAGTGAAATGTGAACAGATTGTGCTCGATATATTGCTAGCAAGCGATTGTTAGGCTAACTAAATGTGACACAGCCTAGTGAGAACAAAATTTAGATAAGATTCGTTTAATTCACTCAATCTGATCTATCCATCATTCTACTCACAGGTTTGTTATCGTGCCCGTGCAATGAGCACTTCAAACTGATCTTAGAGAATCCATAAATTCTACGTTATCTCAAGCATTTATTGGGCTTCCACTGATGACAATTTACTATGAGGCTATTATAATCTAGAGGATTTGCGGTCGTACGACATGTTCGGAAACTCAGTGAAATAAACGGAATGGAAATATTACTGCTGGCTAGTTGTCACAGTACAAAAGGCATGCAAACTACACTTGATAGTTTATTTCAGTTGTACTGTCTGTTTCACAGATAACTGCATCTTAATAAGGACGGACCAGTTTATTCATCAAATGTGGGGAAGCAAGTAATGGAATTGATTCAGCTATATACAGATTAGCATATGCAAGTCGGTCATCGCTTGTAGCAAAAGATCCAATTGGCGGGTAATCCCTAAACTGCCAAATTCTCTTCAAAAACGCGTCGTCATCCGAAAGATGTCATTAAGACATGTTCAGACAGAAACACCTTAAATCAGCTTGTTAGTAGCACAGATTGACACGAATGTGAAGGTTATTTTGCAAATCAGTGACTTTCACAAGTAGTTGGAAATGAAAGATAAGCCTAGTTGTTCTTGTGGAATGTGATACAATGTAGTATTCTGGCTATTCACAAGTGCCACTCACTCCTTCTTCAAATATGTTCTCCATTCAGTGTTAACCAACGTTGTTGATATTACCCACCTAAGTTAATTTAAACTACTTGTCTGTTTTCTGTAGTCCTCGTGTATAATCTGCTCCCAAAAGATAAACATACATTTCCGTTGAAGTTCTCTGCATCCATTGTACTGGCATTCATTTCGAATTGTAGTAATCACCTTCTCATGGTAAAGAGGGATTTACTCTGCATGCCTCTTTTATGCTCCAATCTGTCTTTCTGTCTCACTGAGAAGTTTTCTCATGCGAACCTATTCATTCTTGATCAGTACATCTGCACATTCACGCAGATCTACTCTTGTCTTATTGATAAACGAAGAATGACTGTGGTTTCCACATCATCCAGGCTGGACACCTGACTATTTCAAGTTAATAATTTCTATTCATCATCAATCTTATGTTCAGTACGTCTCCTAGTCGTCAGCAAGACAAGTGTTCAGGATTCAACGCTCAACTCAAATGTCTCGTTAACTAGATCGAATTCTGGACGCAAAATTATCATTGCAGACTTCTTACAAGAAATCTAGATGATGTTCTTTGTTTAGTATTCTCATAAGTTCACGTATTCTACTTAATCTTCATTTCATTTACACTGTGAATCGAGACATCCTCGACAATAGAAGCACAACGGAATTTCTGCATGCTGTTGAGATGACGTGACTCACGAGTTGAATGCCAGTTGATAGTGAGTGCTGTGTAAAGCTTACTTGATATTTTTGTGAACGCTGGAAATGCTTCTAGCCTATCTGGCTTTCTGGAGAGCCATATTCATCATTCAATCGGAGTTTTATTGAAGTCATTTGTGTGGGGCACCGGATTGCAATGACGGATCGTGTAAGCCGCAAGTGTCAACTGTCGCGGTAAAATTCTTGCTCCATCTCCACCGTTATTCAAGACTACATGGACGGTTGGAGACTCCGTGCTGTGAAGTGGTGAAGTTGTTATCATTGGTGCACATTGCTGAACGATCATTTCGATATCTGATCAAGTCAAATTAGAAGGAAACACTTATACTTGAGATTAGCTGTTTATTGAAGCGAGTGAAAATATCAACATTTACTCTGCCACTGTTCAGTCAAATGACATTAAAAATTAGAAGACGTTCTACAGTCAGTGTGTCAAGAAAATTCCCTCATAATAAGTGACACAATCACACACTAGTTCAATATAACAATATCTAACAGCGTTATTTCCGGCCATGTCGAGTTAGTGAATAGAGGGAGACAATACACAAACAGATTTTCGTAAATGCACTGGCGAAACTCACAAACGCTCGGAGACCATGTTTTTCACAATAAATTTTCATAGGACATATTATGCAGACAGGTGGAACAGCTATTGGATCCTTTGCTAATATCAGCATGGATT